CCCCAAAACCCCAAAACCCCATGAGTTTATTTAATAACATAGCATCGATTAAGTTGAATTAAATTCATTTAAAACTGAGCAATTTAAGGATATCATAAATTTTGTTTAATATATATTATATTTAAATGGACAGTCTTAAGACTGGGAAAACTCTAAAGAGTGCGCTTAAATATACACCTAGGATTGAATTATATTCCGACAGAGAGCTATTATCATAAAATGATTCTAAACCATTTACTATTGATACTAAAGTAACCCATGAGTACATAGATTAATTTATTAATAAAGCAACACATTATCAAACATCGTCTAATTTAGAAACCTAAAGAACTTTGAACTAGTTTCATAGTCAAAATTATGGTGCATCACTTATTGAAGATGGTGTCATTACTTATGATGCCAGATTAATTCAAAAGAAATTTAAAAGCAGTACTGCAAATTGATTCAAATTTGAGTCAATTTTTGGAAAAAATTTAAAACGTGGAACCACTAAAGATTAGTCTTTTGGAAACAATATTTAAAAAGATAAATCGAATATACTGTTGAATCTTCCCAAAAAATTTGATTCATCAATAAAAAATAAAGAAAAAATTGAAAAGAAGAGATCTTTGATATTGAATAAAGCAGCATAAAGAGGAATATTGATTGTAATAATCTTAATATTATCCTTCTTCGAGGTAAGGATTCTATATATTAATTATCTAAAAGCATTTGCACTTCAATGAGTTAAATATATCTACTGCTGAAACAAACTAAGGTGACTCAATTTTTAGAGTTTTCATCCTTGTATTGTCCATAATATTGGTATACTAAAATCATATTTTCTATTAACTTGAAGAGGAATTATATAACCTTATAGAAAATAGGAGATAATATGAAAGTAATATTTCTTTCATTTTTAAAATTTATATTTAGATATATTTAGCCTTTCGCCTAGATTTAAATACTACATACTCTCTCAAATATGCTTCTTAATAATAAACTATCCTGGCCTAGATTATCATTTCACGGTTTTATAGAATGATACACTTTATTATTATTCTCTTAGTACTTATGTTACTGCATTTCAATTTGTTAAGCTAATACATCTATTTCCCTTGCTGACATACTATTCCTAATATGGAAACACTTAGGCTAATCGTCTGCTTAATTAAAATGGCACCAATATCAGCTTATTATTTATTTTGAAGTGCTATCTGAAAGTTAATTCTTTTAGCTTACCCCTTGCTATCTTTGGAATATGTGTTACTATTTTTACTATGCTTGTGATGATATTTGAGAAATAGCGTAACGAATATTAAATGATGCCTTTCAGTGAAACTCTATGGACAATTATGATTATGATAACAACGACTGGATTTGGTGATTATGCACCAATTACTCCTATGGGCAGAATAATGAGTATTACTGCTTGTATTGTGGGAGTAGGAATTATGTCCTTGTTTATTGTTAGTCTTACACATTCATCCTATTTGAACAACAACGAAAATATTGTGTATGAAACAATAGTTATAGCAAATAATGAATCATAACTAAATAATCTAGCGGGCAAATTAATCAAGAGTTATCTGTTATTTGTAATAAGGAGAAAGAGGGAGAAAAAAACTAAAGTAAGTTTTTTTAAAAATTGCTATATTTCATCCTTATAGTTACTCATTAGTGACAAGTGCATAAACTTTTTTGACATGCTAAAATATGCACATTTCTTTTACTATGAAAGAAGGTAAATATTAAAAATTCTTCATGATTCCAATTAGATTGGTACAAATGCATTAACCCCAAATTGAAGATATGCTTGAAAGTATGTATGATAGAATAGCGTCGTTCGAACTTGAAATTTAATATAAAATTGATAAGTTTGATCTTCTACATTATCAAGTAAGTTGAAGTTTTTAATTTGAGTTAATATAATCATTAGGTTGAAGAAATTAGGAAATAATCCGAATAAGTTAAAAAGGTAATGACTCGGTGCAAAGCTTTAAGCTTTCAAACACTAAATTTAGCTAAATTAATGGATGACTATCGAGGGCAAATGTTCTTGAGCTAAATTAGTGATTTGAGAAAAACAAAGAAACTCACAACTAATGAGATACCAGATGAATTGAAAAAGCTTTAAGATTTATTGCCCCCTTAAACACTAGAATTGCTTTCTGAGACTACTTTATTTGAGTCTGAAGATTCAATTGAAGAAAAAGTTGGCGTTGATCATAAACCCATTTTAAAATAGTAGCTCATAGAATAAGAAATAGTCGAAGAGGATGAAGAAAATCTAACGACTGAAAAATCTCAGGATACAAATTATCAAACACTAATGATTGATGCGCAAGCTGGAATCTAAGGAGATCTGCTTAACACAAATTCAAAGGAACACTAAATAAACTATTAAATTCAAAGTGATTAACCATCTGGATTTAAAAGTCCCTTGAATTCTTAGTAATAACCCAGAAGAAAGTCAGTAAGATTTGATATATCAAGTACACCCAAACTCTCAGATAAGGAGACTGGTTCCCATTAATCAGATTAATCGAGCCTTTAAAAAACTAATTTGAATTAAGCATTGTCATAGCATCATTAGTAATAACTATTAATACCTGAATGGTCCTATCTAAATGAAGATTTAAAATCAACAAATGAACCTAAGATTTGCTATCTATAGTTTAAGTGAGGGCTATTTCCTTTCTAAATATTCTATAAATGACTAAGTACTAATTAAAGGGAATCTCTTTGTAAATTAAAATATCAAAGCCTCCCTTAGATAAAGAAGTTAAATTACAAGTTTGCAAGTCAGCTATTATTTAAAATTTTAAATAAAAGCATAAATTAACTCATAGTTATATTAATTTTTACAAATCTTAAATTGGAATTTTAATGAGATAGCGGGGTTTTGGGGTTTTGGGGTTTTGGGG